TTATATGATATATATGTTAAATTGTAGCTTAAAGATTCCGGTTTATGATATGATATAAAGACTATAAGATAATATAATTGAAATTTCCAGGAAAAAGTCATTAAAAAAGGAATTGTCAAATTAATAAATCAAAAATAATACGTAATTTTCAAAACATCGTATCAGCTTTATTTTTAAGAATCATGATATGCTTCGTATGTTAAATTGTAGCTTAATGATTCTAGTTTATGATATGATATAAAGACTATAAGGTAATATTATTGAAATTTTCAGGAAAATGTCATAAAGAAGGAATTGTCAAATTAATAAATAAAAATAATACGTATTTTTCAAAAAATCGTATCAGCTGTATTTTTAAGAATCATGATATGATACGTATATCAAATTTTAGCTTCAAGATTCTAGTTTATGATATGATAAAAAGGCTATAAGATAATATTATTGAAATTTCCAGGAAAAAGTCATTAAAGAAGAAATTGTCAAATTTATAAATCAAAAACAATACTTAATTTTCAAAAAATCGTATCAGCTGTATTATTAAGAATCATGATATGATTCGTATGTTAAATTGTAGCTTAAAGATTCCGGTTTATGATGTGATATAAAGACTATAATTGAATATTATTGAAATTTCCAGGAACAACTATTAAACAAGATTAAACAACTGTCAAATTTATAAATCATAGATAACTTGCATAAAATCGTTTCGGCTGTATTTTTAAGAACATGATATGATATGTATGTTAAATTGTAGCTTAAAGATTGTAGTTTATGATACGATAAAATAACTATAGGATAATACTATTGAAATTTCCAAAAAAAAAATTATTAAAGAGCAAATTGTCGATTTATAAATCAAAATAATAGGTACTTTTCAAAAAATCATATCGGCTGTATTCCTAAGAATCATGATATGATATGTATGGTAAATTGTAGCTTATAGATTGCAGTTTATGATATGATATAACTACTACAAGCTAATATTATTGAAATTTCCAGAAAAATATTATTAAAGTAGAAATTGTCAAATTTATAAATCGAAAAGTATAGATAATTTTCAAAAAATCGTGTCGGCTATATTTTTAAGAATCCTAATGATATATGATACGTATGTTAAATTGTAGCTTGAAGATTGTAATTTGTGATATGATATAAAAGCTATTATGTAATATTATTGAAATTTCCAGAAAATATTATTAAAGTAGAAATTGTTAAATTTATAAATCGAAAATTACAGGTAATTTTCAAAAAATTGTGTGGGCTATATTTTTAAGAAGCATGATATGATACGTATGTTAAATTGTGGCTTAAAGATTGTAATTCATGATATGATATAAAAGCTATCATGTAATATTATTGAAATTCCCAAAAAAAAATTATTAAAGAAGGAATTGTCAAATTTATAAATCAAAAATTATAGGTAATTTCCAAAAAATCCTATCGACTGTATTTTTAAGAATCATGATATGATTCGTATGTTAAATTGTAGCTTAAAGATTGTAGTTTATGATATGATATAAAAACTATAAGGTAATATTTTTGAAATTTTCAGGAAAAAGTCATTAAAGAAAGAATTGTCAAATTTATAAATCAAAAATAATTCATAATTTTCAACAAATCGTTACAGCTGTATTTTTAAGAATCATGATATGATACGTATGTTAAATTGTAGCTTAAAGATTGTAGTTTATGATATGATATAAAGACTATAAGGTAATATTACTGAAATTTTCAGGAAAATGTCATTAAAGAAAGAATTGTTAAATTTATAAATCAAAAATAATACGATAATTTTCAAAAAATCATATCAGCTGTATTTTCTAGAATAATGATATGATACGTATGTTAAATTGTAGCTTCATGATTCTAGTTTATGATATGATAAAAACACTATAAGGTAATATTATTGAAACTTTTAGCGAAAAGTCATTAAAGAAGGAATTGTCAAATTCATAAATTAAAAATAACACGTAATTTTCAAAAACTCATATTAGCTGTATTTTTAAGAATCATCATATGATACGTATGTTAAATTGTAGCTTAAAGATTCTAGTTTATGCTATGACATAAAGACTATCAGGTGATATTACTGAAATTTCCAGAAAAAAGTCATTAAAGAAGGAATTGTCAAACTTATTCATCAAAAATACTTGTTTTTCAAAAAATCGTGTCTGCTGTATTTTTAAGAATCATTATATGATATATATGTTAAATCGTAGCTTAAAGATTCCGGTTTATGATATGATATAAAAACTATAAGGTAATATTTTTGAAATTTTCAGGAAAAAGTCATTAAAGAAAGAATTATCAAATTTATAAATCAAAAATAATACATAATTTTCAAAAAATCGTTACAGCTGTATTTTTAAGAATCATGATATGATACGTATGTTAAATTGTAGCTTAAAGATTGTAGTTTATGATATGCTATAAAGACTATAAGGTAATATTATTGAAATTTTCAGGAAAAAGTCATTAAAGAAAGAATTGTTAAATTTATAAATCAAAAATAATACGATAATTTTCAAAAAATCATATCAGCTGCATTTTCTAGAATAATGATATGATACGTATGTTAAATTGTAGCTTCATGATTCTAGTTTATGATATGATAGAAACACTAAGGTAATATTATTGAAACTTTCAGCAAAAAGTCATTAAAGAAGGAATTGTCAAATTCATAAATCAAAAATAACATGTAATTTTCAAAAACTCATATCAGCTGTATTTTTCCGAATCATGATATGATACGTATGTTAAATTGTAGCTTAAAGATTTTAGTTTATGATATGATATAAAGACTATAAGGTAATATTACTGAAATTTTCAGGAAAATGTCATTAAAGGAATTGTCAAATTTATAAATCAAAATAATAGGTAATTTTCAAAAAATCGTATCGGCTGTATTTTTCCGAATCATGCTATGATTTGTATGTTAAATTGTAGCTTAAAAATTCCAGTTTATGATATAATATAAAAACTATAAGGTAATATTATTGAAAATTGAGAATTTCCCAGAATCATGCCAATTGTATTTTTAACAGTTATAAAAGGATTTATATCCTAAATAGAAGCTAAAAGACTCTTGTTTATGATAAGTATAAAAACATTAATGTTGTATAATAAAAATTTCCTGCAAAAAAGTTTTAATTGCGGAATTGTCAAATTTATACATAAACAAAGATCAATTTTTAAAGAAATCATACCAACTGCATTTTTAACAGTTAAAAAACGATTTATATCTTAAATTCAAGCTATAAGGCTCCAGTTTATAATAAGATATAAAAATGTTGATGTAGGATAATAAAAATTTTAATTGAGGAAATATCAAATTTATAAATCTCATATAATACGAAGTTTTCAGAAAAAAAAAACATATCGACTGCATTTTTCGGGATCATGATATGATATGTATGTTAAATTGTAGCTTAAAGATTCTAGTTTATGATATGATATAATAATTTACAGAACAAAGTATTAAAGTAAAAATAGCCAAATTTATAAATCAAAAGGGTGTTGCAAACTTTTTGGCAGATATAAATTATTGTTATAATTTCAAATCAAACCTTATCGGTAAACGTTCTTGAAAAACATCCTCTTGGAGAACACTCAATAAATTATTCGATAAATCTAAAACCCTTAACTTTTTCAAATTAACCAAAGCTTTCTGTTCGATCATTTCGATTCCATTCCCAGCTAAATAAAGTTCTTCTAAATCGTGTAATTCAGCGAACGTAGTCGTGGTTATAACTTTTAATTGATTTATACTCAAATCGAGGAATTTTAAAGCTTGCATCGGTTCGAAAGTCTTATCCTCAATCGTATTAATACTATTATTATTTAAATAAACTCTCTGTATCAATAATAAATCCCGAAATAAAGCCCTATCTAATTTTTTTAATTTATTATGACTTAACCACATTATTTGAACGCTCGATTGTCCTTTTAATGAATCGTTACTTAACGAAACGATTCGATTCGAATCCAATTGTATTGAAATTAACGACGGTGATTCTCTCATAAAAACGTCTTCCAATTCGACGATTTCATTCCCTTGCAAATTGACGTGCTGTAAACTTTGTAACGTTCGAAATGAGCCAACATCAATCGTTGAAATCAAATTATTTTGTAGGTGAAGCTCTAACAACGACGGTAAAGGGTCAAAAACTCCGCGATAAATCGTTTTGATACGATTATTATGAAGCCGAATCTCTTTTAAAGACACGGTCTTATCAAAAGTTCCTGGATCCAAATCAACGATTAAGTTTGAATCTAAACTTAACGATGTTAAATTTTTATTTTCAATAAATAAATCTTTCGGGATAATCGGGATAAAATTCGAACTCAAATGAAGTTGAGATAAATTAATTAAAGTTGTCAACGAGTTTGGATGAATTTGTCTTATTGCGTTTTGTTGTAAATAAATAATCGTGATATTTTCCGAATCAGTAAAAGCATCTAACGGTATTTCAAGGACGTTATTCTCCGATAATAAAAGTTCTTTAAGTTCTGGTAATCTCGAAAATAAACCGTTAATATAATGGATGTGATTATGACTTAAATCGATCGACCTCAAATTTTTATTCGATTGAAACGTTTGCGAATCCAAAAAGACGATTTTATTATGACTCAAATCGATCGATTCTAAATTAATTAAAGAAATAAACGCGTTTGGGTGGACGCTTTCGATGATGTTGTAATATAAACTTAAAGTTTTTACGGACGGGGTTGGTTTAAAACATTCTTCGCCTAAATCTTCGAAATTATTTGAGCTCAAATCTAAATATAATAAAGCGTCCAATCTTGAGTAACCATCATCTTGTATCCTATTAATTTCGTTCCAAGCTAATTTTAATATTTTTAATCGATCCAATCGCCTTAATGATGTTATTGGAAAATATTGTAATCGATTTTCGGATAAATCCAATTCGGTTAAAGTTCCTTCTAATCCAGCAAAACCATACTCGGAAATTTTTAAAACTTTATTCCCTTTCACGTTCAATTTAATCAAGTTTAACCCGTAAAAACTATAACTTGGTAAATCAGAAATTTCATTCGATTCCAAATCTAAAGCGATTAACTTTAGCAAACCGCTAAAAGCTTTCTGGGGAATTTCTTTTAATTGTCCCGATAATAAACTAATCGATTCAATTTCCGGTTTTAAAACGAACAATGCGTCATCGAGTAATTCCTCGATATTCGATTGGGAAATTTGTAAATGTTTGATGACGGTTCCATCTGGGAAAAAATCTGACGACAATTTCGTTATGGATTTGTCCAGGTCGTAGACGCTTAATGATTGGATTGGACCGTGGACGGTTTTTAAAACTTGTCTTAGTGAGTTTGATGTCGCCGCTGGGCATTCTAGAAAAATTCCGTCTTCAAAACTGTAACAGGGACACGATGGGTTTTGATGGACGTCCGGACAGTGGACTTCTATGTCTTCTTGAGCCCTTGGGCAGGTTGTAATGAGGAGTCCTGCCGTTACAATTAGGGTGAACAAGTGGGCGCCATTTAGCGCCATCAGGAGCCGGACATCGATGGGATTGTTATCGAAGAGAACATTTTCTGAAAAGAGAAACAAAATTTTATTAAATTTCGATGTGGATGGATTAAGTCAAGATTGTTACACCGTCGAAAGTTAAAAATTGGTACAGTCCAACCTCAAATGTTCCTTAATAACCTCAAAAAGTTTCATTTCTTCATTCCGATTCGTTTTGGAGAAAACAATTTTTTTCTTAACCTTCTTTTGTACAAACGCATATCAAATTGACGATGTTTAAAAATGTTTATAAAATGAATTAGTTACCGTGGAAACTTAAAATTTGGTACAATCTAGCCTCAAACGTTCCTTTATAACCTCAAAAAGTTTCATGTCTTAATTCCGATTCGTTTTGGAGAAAACAATTTTTTTCTTTAACCTTGTTTTGAACAAATGTCATATCAAATTGAAGATGTTTAAAAATGTCTAAGTAAT